CATGTCTAACGAACTCAACGGCCTGCTATTATTGGATCTCCGCTAGCTGATATACTTCCCGATAAAGATTATTTTTGAGTGATTTTCAAAAAAAAAAAAATAACCTTGGCGTTAGAGATTTGACCTGGAGAAAAATCTTGTCAACCTTTACACGCCATTAATCCAAGAGAAATGAAAACGCCCAAGCTATCAAAAGCTGTAAAATGTACTTACTTTTTTTACTAATACTCCAGCTTTCATTATTAACTTGAACAATATTTGATTTTTATAACTGTCGGCCTACTTTTAAGGCTATAAAGAGTAGTCGAGGAAGTCATCTTTAAGGTAGGAACTTATTAGATTTGCAATTTTTATCCGGTGCGGTATGTTAAAAACTCAGTATTATGGTAACAGAGTAGACACAGCGCACTGTACATTCGGAGTTTACTATAATTAAAGCACAATAATGAACACCAAACATGTCACGTTGCCAAGTTAAATGAACTCCTAGTTCTATTGTCGGTACAAGATTACACTAGATCTCGTTCTCTAAATGAAATACAACGTGCCTTTGTCCATCCGTGATTGTTGATTGTGATTTATGACTGTAGAATAACTCTTTAATCTTGTCAACTGGTTATAATAATTGTAAATCATGCTTCACTCACTTGACAGAATAGTTGTAACTCACAACATTTATAATATGGAGAGAAAATATGTTTAATTTAATATAAACGGGGAAGTTTTTCTTTCTGATAATAATATACCTACTGATGTATCTTTTATTCTCAAACCATGTGATAAAATTCTGTAATATTGGTAAACGTTGATGTAAACTTATGGGGATCTAAGTGTAGCCAGAAGATTCGACTAGGACGACATTTAAATCAAAGGCTTATAATCTTATTATCATCACCAATATATCATTAGACAAAAGTATAATAATATGTTCTAAAGTAATTAAGAAAAAAAAATAAAGAAAATTACTTTCCCTTCAATTAATTCTAATTTTCTAAAACAATTTGCCAAATCTACATAATACCATTAATATGTTTCGCAAGCCGTCGACACAATATTCAACATACTGTCTGAGCCAGAAGTCGAACCCACGCACCTGATTTGCAACGTCTCAGAGAAGGTAGGTGGAGCGGCTCCGACAAGTAAACCCTAGAGATTATTCTGTTATATTTATATCACGCAAACTATTTCGTACAAAGATTTTTGATATTTTCTGTACGTTACCAGAAAATATCTACCTGTATATTTTACATTACCTTTACATAGTAGCTATAGTTCTGAAAAACAATATTTTTCTTCAAAAATAACATAATGACATGATAATCACGAGAAGGAAGGATCTACACTCTCCAGGAGGCAAGACGTGGGCAAGGCATGTGCGAGTGTGTACTTGGCTCTCTCGCCTCGCCTTCCAGGCGCTCCGTTCTGTGTCAATTTTTTTAACGGAATTGAGGCCGGTCGAGGCCGGCTACTGAAGAATTTGAGTATGTCAATTGGTTGAAGGAACGAGGAACACTCGCGAGAGGGTAGAGCCGGGATAGTGTAAACATTGTAACGTTTAGGTGTCAATTTTAATTTGTGAGTCTGGAATTGGAACAAAATTGGAATCTGTTTCTTAGATATGATTACTTAAGTCTATAGAATGTAATAAAGAATGTGTTGTAAATTGACTTTCTACTTAATTTATTTTCTACAAATTAAGGCATCTAATCTCATATTTAATCGATTAAGAACGTTGCTTTGTATTAAGGTATAAGCAAATAAAAAAAAGAATAAAGACGGACCCCTAATACGTAATTCAAAAGATTTCTGACCAGTTTAAAAGAGGCAGGGCATAGAACAAAAAAAATCAGCAAACAGGCCTGATGGTAAATCGTAAATAAATTAACTTAGGCCCGGACAAGTATACCTACTCATAACACCATAACCGCCGAAGTCTCATTTACTTGTAGATACAATCTTCATAGCTCGAGGGAGAACGACTTTAACTCAAACTTGAGTTTTCCATGATATATAATTATTACAAATGAACGCGAATTAACGCGATTAATACGTGTTACATTTCTTTGAACTGCCTGGCGTTCCGACCAGTTTGCACTGGCCGTTGTCACAAGCAGACTGATCCGCCTGTGACCATGGCACAGTATAACACCCTATACACGGGTCAATTCTCGTTCTTTAGTAATAATTATAAATCAGAGAACCTTATTTCAAAAAATTAAACGTAACAAGACGCTGGGAGTGCTGTTTAAGTGTTGTCTTACTCTTTTCTTGCACTTTCTTGCTTCAATTCATGGTAGATTATATTTAAATATACTATTTTAGTGCCATTAGCCGTCTGTCGATTACTTTCGATTTATGTCATTACAGTACGAGTAAAAGAAGGAAAACTTGAAACATTGAAGATGATCATGTCATATCAGTTTGTGGGCAGAACGTGATGCTTAGGTAGTAAGTTAAGGTTCTATGCTTTAAATTTAAAACACACTACTAACAGAAAAAAACAATATATTTTATTTATTTCTATGATAAAACAAAATAGATTTTCTGTAGTTTCTATAATTACAGAATACACCTCTACTTGAGCGTGGGCTTACGTCAGCAAGATCAGGAGATTTCTGCATTTCTTACATCAAATCAGAGATGTAAATAAATTCATCAAGATATCTCTGCGGTATTTGTGTCTCTTTGAGCATTATTGTGACAATGTACCGACGCTTTGTCGAGCCGAATTGATCGATTATACAGCTTGGTAATTCTTGTGAATTCTTTAAAGTATGCAATCTATTTGTGATACCTACAAATTGCCGCTAACAGCCTTTTAGTAATATTGGTTTAAGGAATGTTATCAATACTGGTCTATTTTCCTGATGTTTTAAAGCTTTAGGTTAACTAAATGATAAATCATTCATCAATGAAAAGAAAAGAAACCGGTAAGAATTTCACCAAAAATAACTATTAAGAGAAATTATTAGCAATTTGACCGCTAACTTTATTTTAATTAAAATAACCCATCGATTTTATCTTGTTAACACTAATACTTACCTTATAATATTTTCTTTTGAAATTGAATTGAATGAATAAAAAAAAAACCTGACTCCTTAAACATTGCGGCCTGAAAAGTGTGAGAAAAGATTATGTTCTTGTCATCTTATCTACAAACTATTCAATATTTATAATATTCTACTAATATTTTATTTTGTAAATACCGTATTCCTCAGATTACAACATTTTGCAAACTAAGCTAACTGAATAAATAGCTTTACGTTTGCGTTTTGTATTAATGTTTTGTGATTGTGTTGGTGTTTGTGCATAAATAAACAAAATACCTACCATACCTCAGTAATAGTGATCGCGCCTAATGATTTTCGATTGAACAGTGCTTACCCACTTTCATATTGTTTTCTATATCTGTCCATGGTTTAAAACAGAAATTCCTTAAATGTATACGATTGACTTTTACTATATTTCTAGATATTGTGCCACTTATCGTTTATGGATATACTTGTTCGTTCGGACCCTTATTAGTACACATAATGAATATAATTTCGAATAAGAAGAATACTACTCTGTCAAGAAAGTACCGGGAAAAGATCAATAATACACAAAATGTTTGGTGTTCATCCAAATTTATTTCATCACCTTCATTATTTCCTTCACTTTGCGATGTTAACTTCAGTTGCAGACGTTGATGGCCTACCAAATCTTCCATCACATTTCGACCGCTTTTGAACGCTTTGTACCACTCATAAGCACGTGTTTTTGCTAAAGTCGTTTCACCGTAAGCCTTCTGTAACATTTTCAGTGACTGGCGATTCAAAATTTAAGACAAACTCTTTGTTCGATGTTTCTGTCCATTATGAAATTCGCAATACACACTAGATATGATATAACTTAAAACAGCACTGTATTTAATATAAATAACAGATGCAACTCAAATTTTGCTCCAAAATGGAAAACAGTTGTGCCAATCTAACAACAACAAAAAACAAAAACGATCATCAATTCCCGATACTTTTTGGACTGAATGTATATTGTTATTAGTTAAAATTAGAGTTACTATCTACATCTTGATGAAACGAATGAAAATGAGATTTCTCTTAACTCAAATATGATAAAAATATTATTATGAAGGTGACAAAATAAACAACAGTATTGACGACCAAACCTTATGGCTAAAGTATTTTTTTTTGTAACTCTATTTTTCTGTTATGTTATGTGAACAGAGTAAAATTAGGAAAACATATAAGCTATATTTTACTGAAATCTAAGAAATTGTAAAAATGAATTGTCGCCATTTTAAAATGCAATACAACTTAATTCTAATTTAACGTACGTAATCGAGATTTGTGACTGGCGTATGATAATACTTTTCACGCAGCCTACGTCGCGAATATAGCTATTAGATAAGTCAGGATTTTATACGATCACTTTAAACTTCTCATGTTAATTCAATCAACAGCATTCGCACTAGAATCAGGTACTTGCACCTTATATAGCCTATATTGTAACCAATTAAGGTGATAATAAGGTAATTTTACGATGGCTATAATATTCTAGCTGGTTTTCGGTGGCGGACTCACATAGGAACCGTTACCAGCACATAACATAATAATAATGTCTCACCTAACGATTATTGTACAAAACTGCCATTGTCATTATAAGGTACCAACTACAGAGATAGCTAGGCGAAAATTTGGCATAGAAACTTCGATGTTTCGATGAGATGATTTAACCTAAATTAAATTCCTTTCTCTCCTCATTTGATTTTACCTGGCTTCTACATTTTACTTAAACATTTGTCTTAAACCCAACCCATTTTTTATATTAACATTTATCGCTACTTTCACCAACCGGTTAAAGCCGTATATATTTTGTTTCATTTTGGAGTTGACACATAGTAAAGAAGTAATAGTTGTAGAGTGGCCCATTAGTAGGCTTGTATATTTAAGGCAAAAATACATTACATACACTTACGCCTATATCTGCAAAGTGGTAGACAGATGTATATTAAATACTTGCATATTACCGGCTATGCTTTCAGTCCTGCTCACATAATAGATAGCAAGCACGGCATCGGGCAAGCAACCTGGGCACTCCAAGAAGATGGAAAAATTAGGAGTATATTTAAAGGAGCTACCTACCTTAGGTAAGAAGGGAAGGTAACTGTAGGAATTTGCATATTGAAGAAGGCCAAAAGTAGCTCGAGCAGCTCAGGGTCATGTAAATGTGACTTAACTTAGCTGTTGCCGGAAAGTCTCTAAGCAAACGAATCTAACAAGTAGGTATGTATTTTAGCAATCGAACTTATTATGTTAAAAATTAGTATGTTTTTTTTAAGGTATATGTAAACCCCCCGGTAAACGATCAGACGGGTCGCCTGAAGGTAAGTGACTACCGCCAATCTGTAACCCGAGGGTCACATGTGCGTTGCCGGCCTTTCTTTAAGTCCTCCCCTCAGAGTCAGGGGGAGAGAGGATTTGGGCCTTGAGGCGATCGTGGTATCACTCCGATCGAGAGAGCCTATTTATGTGATTCTCCAACGTATAACGTAGTAACAAGTATTTTGTAGCAACCAGTGTACAGTGGCCGTAATTCGGTAGAAGTAATTTCCTTACAGGGTGTAATTAAAACTAAGCGCGCTATATGTTTCACTGTCTCGTGTGAACGGGATAGACAAAGTGTGAGAGAAAGAGAAATGCTTATTCTAACCAGGGCTAAATTATATTTACTTCGTGCAGAATACACGTGACGCTGCAAGCACGCAACTTCTACACAATGTTCGTATCCAAGAGACGAGTATTTGAGTTTTACAAGGCTCCAGTTAACTGGTTGTGGGTAGAGATAGCAAAGTTTCTGTGTTTAGAATGATTGTTCGTGTTTCCTTTGATAACATTCCCGTATTTGTAACAAGTTTGTCGCAAACTCGTTACAATATATAGTATGTATAAGTGTTGATAGCACGAGAACGGGATGGCTTACTTGATAAAACGTTTACAATATTATATTTAACTCAATTTATAATTTTAAAATTCACACTGTTAAAAAGTATATAAGTTATATTTTCTTTGTTTAACACCGAATAGTTTAATACTCTCAAGTTACGAATACGAATAGTTTAATACGTTTAATACGTTTAAAACTGTTTTGCCTAATGTTCAGCCTGTAATTGACATATTATATCCCAGTGAACACAATTATGTCAAAAAATGGTAGCACGCCATCTATCGAGGTAAGAGGTAGTTGTCACTGTCCCTTGATCTTCAAGCAATACTGTAGTGTAATGTCCTAATTGGCCGAAAAAAGAAGCAACCATTTTTAAACCAATGCTTTGACTTTTCTTAACTTTCGTCGTCATATCTTCATAAGGGAAGACCAAGCCAACTGGCTTTTTCTTTTGGGTTCAAAGCTGTACACCCAGGTTTCGTCATCTGTCACAATATTATAGACAGCTAATGACTGCCCTCCGTTAGGCTTTTTTATCATTTATAGCACCGCTGGACACACAGTGGTGCTATAAATGAGGACACACCGACTTTCACGTACCTCGTCATGGAGATACACAGAGCTGCGACATGGTGCTTCATCACCAATTGCTAATAGAGTCTCTGGCAACTCTATTGTTGACTTAAGACACAACGAAAATTATAAAAATTCATTGAACAACATTTTCGTTCAAGTTTTTTTTTTCACGAGTTAAATTTATTTTCATAGCGATACACAATTTTTGAAAGGACGTCACAATTTTAAAACAAACGACAGTCTCACAAATTAAAAAGTAACATTTTTCCAAAGAGTTCGATTTTCGAATTCCATAATTTGTGTTTTCATTCTTTTATTGTAAGTGGCCAGATCCAGAAATTTTCAATGTGCCCCACGTATATCACTTTTGGGTGGTTAAAAATACCAAGTACGCGTAAAAACGTCTATAAAAACTTTCGTATATGATTGACTATGACAAATGATTGACAATATCAATACTTCATTTATATAAAGTCAGTAACAGAGGTCAAACCGCAGATCCATTAATCTTTCAGTTCCAATAAATCGAACTTTTTAATAAATTTAACATCCGCGACCCTTTCGTTTATGCTTTTAAATTAATGAAAGATGATTCGATCGATATAATGTTTTAATGGACTATCAATATGCATTATGTCTATGTGTGCAGTGTCCACGGCCATTAGGGCCGGATTACACCTGTATAAGCCTGTAGACATTAGTTTCGGATCACATTTACCGCATTAGGTATCGAGTAGCTGATATATTGCCATAATCTATTTGTGTGCACTAGGATTTATATTGTCTGAATTACGTTTTGTGTGGCAATATGGGTCTTTTTTTATTTTAGGGATTATTATGATTCATGTTATTGTTATTAGAATAATATTGAAGGATATTGTTTTATGGGCCTTGATTAATATAATTCAAATATGTTATATTATATTATCCATAATGGAATGCTTTAAATACTTTGATTGTAATTTAAACCCAAGCGAGTTGTGGTTAATGCAGCAGATGTCTATAAAATAGTAAGTGCTTGAGGTAGGACTCTCAAATACATAAACATACAGAACTTTTGCCCGCGGCACCGCCCGCGTGCTTAGCAAGTACCGGTCGGTCCCCGCGGTAAATGGTCGCCCATGTCCTTTCTCAAGAGTTAAACTATCTAAACACAAATTTCATCTAAATCGATTCAGCGGTTTAAACGTGAAAATGTAACAGTCAGACAGACACACTTTCGCATTTATAATATTAGTATGAATAAGACAGCCCTATTGCTGTGCAAATGCACAGCAGGAGTTCATATTTTATCAGAGGTCTCGTACATCCAATTTAGGGATATACGACCCTGAACTGCTAGAGTTACCATTCCCATTTCCCTGTCCATCTGTATCATCAAAGTCCCTTTTTTACCATTACTGTCCCTTCTCGGCCATCTTTTATTTCACCATAGTTCCAAATTGACTTCACGGATGGCGTAGTGGTTTAAGCGGTCACCTCGACGCTTCCTACTACGCCGAGTGTTGTGGGTTCAAACCCCACATGGGACGACACTTTGTGTGATCCACAAATTGTTGTTCAGAGTCTGGGTGATCTTTGTGTCCGTTTCATGTATGTTTGTAAAGTCCCCCGCGACACAGGAATGTATTCTTAATGCGGGAGTTGTCTTTTTAAAAAAAGAAAAAAAAAGAAGAAATTTTTACATCCAATCCCTAAAGTCCTTAGTTGTCGCCAAGTATTTCATACATCTGTAATACGTTTCGGGGATATAAGCGTGATTGCATGTGTGTATCTATGCTGTACACGTAAGGTTAACGGTAGTCAATTCACCATTAATTACAACACACTTGTCAAAATAAGATAATTAGGTATATGTATCTATCATAAAAGTCTCAAAACCTAAAAAAAATAGTGTCTTGGTACACAAAACACGTAACGAGAAAACACAGAGAGTCGTCGTCGGATTAACTCCTAAGACAAAGTTTCATATCCGCAAAGCGTTTAGTTGGGAGTTCGGCTGACTTAGCACCCGATACCGAGCTAACTTATCGAAGTTAGCTTATGCTAACTTGTGGCTTGGATCCAACCTTACGTTATTATGTTGACGCTGACGCCACCGATAGACAACTTGGTGAATTCAGTATTCTGAACTCTATTCCGACTTTGTGCTTAAAGTTCAAGTTCCGGGCCAATGGATTGTTTGTTGTATTAACATTTGTATTTGATAAATACATAGAATTTGACAAATTGATAAATACATAGACCAGTTTCTTTTAATTGTATACCAAAATTTTTTGTACAATATATAAATACCTTCACCCCACCGGGGTTTGCGACAGGGTGGTGTGTCGGAATCGAACTGACTGAAACCACACCGTGTGCCACTCTGCGTCTGTAATAGGACTGATCCGGGGCACCACTTTCGGGTACATTCTCTATTTAGGCGATTCCGGCACACGAAGACGTAGCCTCCTCGCGGCTGATCGTTATGGCAGGTGTAGGAGAAAACCCGTCCCGTCCACCCGCGGCCACACTCAGGGCGGTAAGCGCGCCTCCGCCGCCCGGCGACGGATTGGGTTCGAGTGGAGGTTGTCCTCTCGGGCCCTCTCTGCCGCCGCCTTCTGCGAGATAACAAAGGATGAAGGATACGACCGCGGTGAAAAATCTGTCACTACCGGCCATGCGTATGATGGCCGTAACGAGAGATCGACCCGATGACTGCAATGAGAACTCGGCGCTGCGGCGCCCAAGCCGGGCAAATTGCCAGCGTGGGCTGAGCCGAGTCCTCACTCCAATCGCAGTGGTAACAGGCGGGACTCAATTCCCTCCTAGCAACCGAGTGCAGGTACTTCCCGAAGCAGCCGTGCCCAGAAAGAACCGGCGTCAGTCCCAAGGAAAGGGTCCCATGCTGCCGCCCTGCCCACTCGACGATGACCGGCTGGAGCGCATCCACATCGGCAAAGCCAGCACGTGGAGCCTCCAGCCTGGACGACCAACGAGCCATCGTAGCGGGGCGGGGGCCGACTACCAATATCCGCCCGGAACTCAGCCGTCTGCTCTCCAAATCCATCGAAACGGTGACTTACCCGGGTATGGCTCTAACTCTAACTCATCTGAGGGCGTGCCCTATTCGGAGCGATCAGAGCCGCCGCCAATACCGGTGCACCGTACAGTGTCATTGACTTAACAACCCCCGTGTACAGCCGTCTCGTTGCGACGCTGGGTTCACCCAAATTGGTATACTTCACATTGGATACTTCATCTGGGCCTGAACCGTTACGAGGACCAAATCGACCATGGGACAGGAGAGCCTCCGTCTTATCCAGGGCCACTCGTACGCCCGACCACCAAAGATGGTGGCTAGGCGCGCGGCCTCTTCAAAGTCCTTCCTCCGGCCATAAGCAGCGTGTCTTCAGCGTAACAAATAATGCCCAGCCCGGGGGGAGGCGATCTCGAAGGGCTCAGTCGTAACCCATGTTCCATAGGAGTGGTCCAAGAACAGACCTTCGGAACACCGCACTACATGCGATGTCCAACGACACCGCTAACAGCACGCCGCCACGGATCGCTGCCTCTTCGGTAACGGTCCTGAGGCGCAACACAGCGTCGACCGTCGAGAGCAGAGAGAATTCTCTCAAACAATTTACCCGCCTCGTCCGCCTGTAGGCCGCGACCGAATCTCCCTCATCTCAGAACAGCATCTCCTTTCTTTTCACTTCTTTGGCGCGGCTAATGGCCAGCTTCAGAGTTTTCCGCGCTTCTCGGTACTCCTCATGAAGCCGGTCCTCCTCACCGTCTTCGCGGTGACGCCGCCGACTGGGTGTTAGACCTCCGCGTACGAGTACAGGCCGCGCGGAGGTTCGCCAACTCCTGGGACCTCAGTATATTACCTAACCTAACCAGCACAGCCGTCCAATGGTGGCTGATGGGACACTCGTATCTTCCACCAAACGCCCTCAGGATACTGTTTGCGACTGCGCTACTTTTTTGCGCAAATATGCCAGACGCGCTGCAGCGCCACGGCAGTCTCTAAATCATCCTGAAGGCATTAATGTATTATAATACAATGGTCGGACTTATCATAGTCCTGTGATGTCTTACAGAGAACCAAGATGAACTAGGCATACTGTTTGTGAAAGTCGCATTCGAAAATATTAGTTATTTTTAAAAGACCCTTGTATTAGTATTATTTTTCTTTTTAGCTCTCTTGCCAGAAGCATTTATTAGTAGTAGAATATATTAGATCAAATCTGAAAAAAATGCTCCCAAGTCAGAAAACTTTGTTATTACATTTGCGTTTCTATCATTTATTTAATTCTTGTACTATGTACTCAAACACGTTAATGGGAATAAAAAAATAATTGAAC